TATCGTTGTATCATACGTGCCATTGTAAAAAACTTGGCGCTATACGCTAACACTATGGAGGCAGGTGTCTTGAAATCTTCAGCTCGAAGCCCGATTTAAAAAGCGCTCGAAAGACACCAACGCTCGCATCCAAACTTTTTGCCGCGGGCTGTCTTATGATTAACGATAATGAAGCGGCATTAAGCACTCTGCGCGAGTACGTTATTTAATGAAAGTTAAAACGCACGTACCACTTCCGATCGGAACGTAATTACGAATGCACGGGCACGTCTCTCGACGCGATTAACCGCATCGCGCGCGCGCGCGTTCTCTCTCTCTCCCTCTCTCTGTCTCTCTCTCTCAGCGTTCCCTCCGTTCCTCTTTCTCTTTTATATAAACTCGCGTGCATCGGCGGCGGTGCAAATTTTCTGTCGTTGTAATGTGTAACACAAGAGAGAGAGAATGCGAGCGAACGTGACGAGAGAGATAGAGAGAGAAAGAGAGAGAGAGAGAGAGAGAGAGAGAGAGAGAGAGAGAGAGAGAGAGAGAGGGAGGGAGGAAGAGAGAGAGAGAAAGAGAGTGGCCAGCCGAGCTCTCTCGTGTCCGACGCAAAAAAGCTACGCTCGTCAAGTTTTCTTAAGCGCGAGAGCGCGAGCACACGGCAAACTTGCCGCAAAAAAGCGAGAGCTTTTTCGCCGTGCATCGGCGCGAGCGCCAGCATCGACAGAGAGCCCCTTTTTATCCCTTGTAAAATGTACAATGTCGCCTATCAGACCGCCGTGTAGTAATAACGCGCGCACGACCACGATAACAACTTCGGCCTCGCTTGATGACGGTTGCACGTGGCGGTCGTCTCGCTCTCGTTCGCGGAATAACGTTAATAAAATAATGATAAAGATCAGTCGACGAGCGCACGCCGGAAAACGTGGAGAAAATCGACGATATCGAAATCATTCGGAACAACGTTCCGAATGCGATCGAATATCAAGCCAAAGTCAGCCATACGTCATCGTAACGAAGAAGAGTCCGGTTTCGAGGAGCGTTTTTCTTCTTCTTCGCAAATTATATTCGCACGAATCGGTGACTTTCGATCGGTTCGTGCGAAATCGAGCTGAAAAAAAGTGATCTACAAAACGAGAAGAATGCAGACTAGAAGCTATCGCGGATCGTGTCGTTAATCGGCAAAACACACCGGTCTCGACGGCCGTTTGAACACCTCGCTATCGATTTCTACGTTTTACCGTGCTCGCGTTACATGATCGATTTCCCGATTTGTAAGAGCGCCGCGAACGCTTTCCACATTTCGGCGAGATCGCATGCAAGAAGTGCATGGGATAACGGAGAGAAAGAGACAGACAGAGATAGAGAGAGAGAGAGAGAGAGGGGGGGTGAAGAGAACAAGAGATAGTGAGACAGAGAAAGAAAAAGAGAGAGAGAGAGAGAGAGAGAAAGAGAGAGGGGGGGAGGGAGATCCTCTTGCAACGAGCGGCTCTTTCTGTCGCAATTTCGTCTTTCGGAGAAATGTCGCGGGCAAAACAGCGCGGTTTTTTGCTGCCTACATCGTCGCCGTCGCCATCGCTGTCGTCGTCGTCGTCGTCGTCGTCGTCGTCGTCGTCGTCGGCGGCGGCGGCGGCGGCGGCGGCGGCGGCGGCGGCGGCGGCGGCGGTGGTCAACGCGCTTATGCGACCACGCCACCCGCACCCCGAACCGGCCGCTCGTAAGAAAGCAGCAAAAACGCAATGTGCAATAGTTGCGCGCTGGCCGCACTGGCGGAAGAAACGGCGCGTTTTTGCGCGACGCGCCGTTTCTTGTCGGTCCTGTGAGTCATGCCGCATCGCGAGTAGACAAAGCGCGACTTACACACAATGGGAACGCTTGTGATCGCGATCTGAAGGCGTGTCTGAGTATCGATTCCATTGACGGTCGACCATTGATCGAGCAGGCAACGCGTCCGATCCTTCGATACCGCGTATCGATCGACGTTGAAGGCGCGCCGAAGCGTCGGTGGTGTCGAGAGCAAAGCGACGCGATGCCGTGAGTACTCGTCGGTGTATCTAATGCAGTATCTAATGCCAAGTACAATACGTATCCCTAGTCTCATTGACTCGATACAAATGAAGCCTCGATAAGAGCGTGTTTTCCTCGTGGATAAGACGGGTCACGTTTCACACCTCGATGCGAGGGATACGTCTGTGGCGGAATAAAAAAAATCTTTATCTTTTTAATGAGTACGTTCTTGCTGTTTACTAATTATTTGCTCCGCTTGCTCCGACTTTGTCATCACATCGGTGTCGCTGATGGAAACGGTAAACATTTCCCGCAAAAAGCGCGAGCGCGGGTTACACGGGTTACGTTACGCGCGTCGCGTCACCATCGCCACACACGCCCCATCTACGCGCACTCGTGGCTTCTGTTAAAAATTACATCGCTTGTATTTTAACGCGCTCGAAAGAGAGCGTGTGATTATCTTTCGCCGGGAGTGTCTCGCGGCTCAGAATGTTTGTATCGCTTCTCCAGACGTAACGTCGCGCGAGCAAACTCTACGTCCGTTTCGCCCGTGAATCGATGGAAAATCGGGAAAATTATGAGAGTAATTTCGCGGAACGGAACGGTTCTCTTGGCGGTTCTCTCGGACGAACGGCACTCCTGAAGGATTTCCGAAACGAGCGACGATATCGAACTCGCTCGAAGAGTCGGCGTTTTTGCCGCGAGATGCGCCGTGCGAGTCGTCGACGCGGTGAAACGCCGCCCGAAGTAGACAAAGAGCCCCGGTCGCAGTTTCGTCGAGATATGTGGAGGAAGAAAAATCATGTTTTTCTGGCGCGAGCTGCGTGCTTTTTGTCGCGGGTATGACTCATCCAGTTTCTCGACGGTAAAGCGGGAGAGACAGAGAGACGGAAAGAAAGAGAGAGAGAGATAGAGAGAGAGGGAGGGAGGGAGGGGGAGAGGAAGAGAGAGAGAGAGAGAAAGAGAGAGAAAGAGAGAGAGAGAGAGAGAGAGAGAGAGAGAGAGAGAGAGAGAGAGAGAGAGAGAGAGAGAGAGAGAGGAGAGTGGGAGGGAGGGAAGGAGGCACACACAAAAGCGCGATAGCCCATGGTAGCTCTTCGGTCGAAACTTCTTCGCTTCGCCGGGAGGTAACTGCTGGCGATTACGTTTCTTGCGTAAACTCGCCGGGACCGCTGTGCGAGAGCGCGGTGTTCGCCACCGAAATGCGACCCGTGCGAGCTCAGGAATGAGCTCGCGGATATGCGAGACGATCGTTCTCGCAATAGCGGTCGATCCGCAAAAAGCGAAGAAATGAACTGAACCCGCGAAGCGGAGCGCTTTGTATCAAAATCTACGTGCGGGGAGCTGCAGCCATCGGATCGCAGCTTGCCCGCTTTTCCTCGACGAACGAAGCCGACAAATGCTGAGGTCTGTGCGTGGTCCTGCGGAGTGACAGAAAATTGTCCTCTTACACGGGACAATCGTCTCTTACATGACACGCGAAAAATTTGATCAAAAAGTACATACGCCGATGACACTTACATAAAAAAAGAAAAAGAGAGAGATAAGACTTTCTTACGGCTGTGTAAAATAAAATTGGAAAGATACATGTTACTTTAATTATATATATTATGCAAATACGAGTAGGAAGGTAGACGTTTATATACTCGCCGGACGGACATTTCCAGTAGACTCTGAATGTAATTAAATTGACGCGCGATTTCATACCTATCAGTTCGCATGAAATCGATCGGTTACCGTCTCTATGTATCGACCGTAAATCCACGCATCACGTGCGTGCGTGCGTACGTTACACGCGCTTTATACTCGTTTTCCGCACTCGCAACGCAAGAAGCAGCCGAGAGACAATCGACCCTAAGACACTCCGGCCATTAATCGACTCGTTTTAAAACGTAACGACATATAACCGGCTTTTTTCATCGTCTAAACGATTAAAGAGTCTCGAGCGTTTACGCATATACGCACCTCAATGTACCGTTTTAAACACTTTTTACATACCTAAAGCAGAAAGAAGCATGCTAGCGGTTGCTTTTTGGCGTGTTTAGGTTTAGGTTTGGGTTAAAGGGTTAGGTTAGATCGCCTATAATAAACCATATTGCTGATTTACGGCTTTACGAGCTTGTGAATGAACGAATATTGTTACTATGTCGACTTTTAGCGGTAAAATTATCAGCGGTAATATATATCAGTTCAAATACAAGTAAATAGTAAGGAAAATCTCCGGTTACTGTCCCATGAAGAACAAGAACAGGCGTCGCAGACCGCTCCTGTCACGAAGGATGTCGCAAAAAGACGACGTAAAAAGATCGTACTTGCCTAAACATTGTGTCAAATACAAACGCAAATATAGCATTAACATAACTGGTAAAATCGAGCAACAATTTGCCAAAATAACGCTGCTTTCAATCGTGGTAAAGCCCGTGTAAAAACAGCACGTGTCAAATCGGACATGGAAAATTGCAAACATAGGTAATTAAGATAAAGCGAATTCGGATCGTTACTAAATTGAATTAATCGAATTTTAATCTCTAATCTGCGATTCTCAATTTCTTAGATAGAGCAAAAAAGATAATAAACGAACCATTCGTATTTTCGTGGCCGAAAGAAACCGAACATTCGGTTCGTACAAACCAAATTCGATTCCGTGAAATAGAAATGGAAATTCCGTCTCCTCCGACCAAAGCATGTCTGGCTCATTCACTACCACGTTAACTCGAGCGATCTTTTTCCTTTGAATCGACAAAGGATATTCAGACCGATCAAACCAACGATCTGTTTTTTATCGCTGCACTCCTTGCGCCAGTTTGCATTAGTTCTCTTTTCCTCTCTTTATCGCCAATTCTCAACTGTACATTTCTGTCCAAATTTCGAGAGTTTACACTAATTCGGCAAGAAAAAGCGTAGTGCGTAGCGCATTTAGCGTGGCTACAATTTAGCATGATTTAACGTAAATCCAGCGTAACCACAATTTAGCGTGATTTAACGTAAAAAAGAATAACGTTAGGTCTACTTACGTGTGCCGTTCACGTTTCTGCTGAGTATCCTGGGTACGCCGGCCGGCTGCTGATGGTTGCTGGACGGGCTGGCCACTACGACGACGGACGACGAATTCTGCGGCACGCAGGCCGGGGATGTAAGCGTCGCGGCTGCAACTACTCCACCGCCACCGGCTCCGTTGCCGGTCGCCGTGGTCACAGGGTTGCCCGGTGTCGAGGGTATCGGCGACGGCGTCCCGACACCTCGCGCCGTCGCCGCCGCGGACGCAGCCGCGACCACCGTTGGGGTCTCCTCCGCGGTCGAAGCACCGACGACCACGCGCGCATCCATCACGGTCACCGGTGCTACCTGGTGCAGCAGCACCCGTTCACGGTACCGCCGCTAGCACGGGGACCTTCCAGGTCGTCCAGGCGCGCCGCCGGCAGCATCCAACGAGGCGCATCCGACTGCGCTTTATTAACGCCCGGACTCGAGGAGAAGACTGGTAACGACGACGACGACGACGACGACGAGGAAGCGCGGTCAACGAACGTTCGCGGATGCGATTCGCGGACTCGAAGCGAATTTCGAAAATGGCGGCGTTACCGTCGCGCGAATCATCGATCTCGATCGATCTATGGCGATATACGCGCGTGATATGACTCTAGAGCGACATGAGGACCGAGAGGACGCCGATCGAGATACTTCGTGCGAGACTCGGCCGTGAAAAGCTGGAGGAAGGAGACGATTTGCCGACGGACGTCCGCGAGAGCACGACTACTGGCGCGAAGATAGCGTCGAAGAAGAGATCGTTGCGGCAAAGGCAGACAAATAGCGACGCGTTTCGAACGCTGGCGCGGCGAACATTGTGCGCGGCGCGGCAAATACTCCGGCTGTCTTTCGCATCGCCCCCACCACCGCGGGAGGCGCCACCAGTCTCATCGTCAACGAGCGCGCGCGGCTTCCCCGAAAGCGCACTGCCGTGGCGGTGTGTGCGACGAATTTTTATTATTCGTTTTTACGATAGTTCTTGCGGCGTTAAAGGGGAAAAACGACGAAGAGGCGAAGAGGTAAATAGACGCGCGGAAGGCGCGACGGTCTCGTCTTATGCTCCTGTTCTATTAATATCGCTCGTAAAATCATCCGTACCATAACCTTTCTGATTATAATCCTTTTTTCTTTCCTTCTCCGACGAGGCATATACTCAAATCCCTAGAAGGAACAGCGCGGTCGGAAGGAAGAGCGCTCGGAAACTGGGACAGCCTGTGTACCAAGGACGGTGCATAGTAAACAAGAGTAATTGCGTCAGTGCTCGAGGAATGGATGTAGGCAACACGGACGTGTTGCTTTTGTTCGTCTTCTGCATGCTACATGTAATTTTAGAGCGTTCGCTCAACAACCAGATAGAAAACTCTTCCAGCTTCTGCCTCCAGTTGTGTACACAATGCCGAGAATTGGCTTATAATGTTGGCTTATAATTATGAAAAAATTCGTTTGTAAGATCGCTCGAGTTAACATGACTGAGTGAATGAACCGGATGTGTTTTGGTCGAAGCAGAATCTCCTTCATGGAATCGGATTTGGTTTGTATGAACTAAAAGTTCCGTTCCCTTCGGCCCTTCAAAAACACGATTGGTTCGTTCATTATCGCATAAATATTTTGTTCTCCATCTAGGAGATTGAGAATTGCAGATTGGAGATTTGAATTTGATTAACTAATTATAATAAAATTATGCTGTTCATTTTTCACAATGATTGACATTCAAGGTATAATAACTCGTTAGCCACTTGCTTGCATTCTGTATCACATTATTCATTAAGCGCTTAATGAGCTCTTGGATGTGGTTGATGCGTGTTTTCGGATTTAGTCAAGATTGAAAGGTACAAGCCAATCAGATCTGAGAGCTCAGTGAGCAACGTTTGTACTGGATGCACGTCTATCTTCGAAACAGAGTCCACAAATTAATTCGTTATAATTTGCTGTTGCGCGTGATACATTCACCGAATCAAAGGACACGAGCAAGCATCTAACTTTTGCCCAGCGCAGATATTAGCATCATACGACAGCCGGTGGCCCATCAGGGGGGTTGAAATTCGGTTAGGGCACGTCGATCCCTCGCGAGCCATCAGATCGTGACCCAGAGGAGAGAGGGAGAGGCGTGGCCTCATGGATCGGCCGGTGGTCGGTCGGTCGTATTCTGTGCAGGCTCCTCTATGCGGGCTCGACGCGAAAACTGTGATGCTCCCCTCCGTCGGTCCTGCGTTCCCACCGCTTACCGGTGTCGTCGTGGTGTACATACGCTCCTCCCTGGCCCTCGTCGCTGTCGCAAAAACGCGCCCCTGCCTCACGCTGCTCCTGGCGGCGGGAAACGGCCCAGGGGTGGAGGAAGAACTCGGCGAGGGGGGTGGGACGCGTCGTAAAAACCCATCTTCCCTCGTGCCCCTTTTCCTCCTCCCGCCTCTTTAGTCTCAGCACCATGCAACCCCTGTAGTAGGTACGTGCGCTTCGCCACCTCCCCCCTCCCTCTCTCTCTCTTTCTCTCTGCCGCCGAGGAACCGACATTTTTGCAGGATGGTACCCCCTCGATATGCGGTTCCCTGTAAAATTCACGTCCTATCCGGAATCTTCAGGCCCCGCTCTTCTCACCCCCTTCTCTTATGCATGTACGTACTACTGGCATTGGACGTTGCAAGGCAACTGCGAGGGGCGAGGAAAATTGCCATGAAAAATTTGCATTTGGTGTAATCCTTTGCGGCGTAAGGGTTCAAAGAGGTGAACTGCAGGCTGGCAAAAATGACTTTCGAAGGATGCCGTCGAAAATGCGTCACACACACGCAAGTTCTAATGAGAATTGGAGAACTGGACTATCGCGGCAACATTACTTGTTGGCGCAATCGTTGCAATATATGTTTTAGCGACGAACGGACGAGATCAAATCACGAGATAAACGAGAAATAATAATGGACACAACTTATGGATGGGATAAACACAAGCGTGAAGTTAAATTTTCGTTTCAAAGCAGAGACCATGTGAAATTGGATAAAGCATCCAATTTTATCACTTATTCTCGCCAACCCTTTATCTTCGATCTCGCTTTTGGCACTAAAAAATCATTATTAACGGTTCAACGTTGAATTTGGTACTTGCAGGATGCAAGTCTCTGTTAACAAATTCCCGAATAGCCTTTGCCGAATAGCACTTGTTACTTGATGAGGCAAAAAGGCATTTAATTAAACGTATAATTGCCGGCGGTGTCGCCTTCTCGTGGATGATTGTGAATTTTCGAAATCTCGAGTTTCCTTGTGGAATCTCAGTTTCTATTCCGGCGCTTCTCTTTCTCCGCTCATCCCTTTCTTTTCGCCCACCCACTCTCCTCCCTTCGTTCGTCGCCTCTCGCCACCACGGACTGCTCTTTTTCCTCCTTCGTCGACATCGCTACGATTCTTTTTACCGCCTCAGTCCGCCGCCACCCCGTGCTCCTGTCGTTCTTATTTTTGCCCCCAACTCTCCTCCACCCGACCGCCGCCGGGCTGCTCATCCCGACTGCGCTCTTCTCCCCTCGCTTCCCCTCTCTCCCTCCTCCCACAACCTTTTTCCGGACCGGTAGGAAAAGCGCGAGAGACTTTTATTTTCGCACGTAGAAAAAGCAAGGCGGAAAGAGAGGTTTTGCTAGCAGACCGTTACTGCGAGGCGGACGTTTTTTGCGACAGCTCCGTAATCCGTGAAAGGGTGAGAGAGCGCCGGTAGAAACCAAAGGCGCCGCGACGCTCGCTCGTTCGCTCACTTGCTCGTTTGTTCGTTCGTTCGCAATTTGCATAGAGCGAACGATCTGTACGCGCTCATAAGACGCCGATCGAATGCCAAGCTAAACGCATCGTTGCTTAAACGTTGGATGTAATTTGTTCCCTTCGTTAGGTAAAATTATCCTTTCATTTCTGTACAGCACACCTCAAATCTTTAATCGGTCGTTCCGAAAGGCGATAGAGAAAGCAGAAACTTAACACTAATTGTAGTACGATTGTTTTGGAAAACTTCAGCGCGATAGAACTGCACGATAGAAGATTCAAGGTTATTAAAAATTAGATCTCGGAACATATCTTTCTGCATTGTACAAGAAGAAACGGAAAATAAGCACACGCGCGCAACACGAGTTTAACGAGGAGCACAGCGCGGTTCCTTCTAACTGGAAATATGCAAATTCACGGAGGAGCCTGAGAAACACTTGGAAAAGGGGTCGCGCGCGCAATGGACAATTTTTTGACCAGGTCGCTCGTAATGCTGGCGGCAGAAAAACCGGCGAAAAAAGTAAGGGATCGGGCAACCGGTGAGCATTACTATGCGTGAGATTCTCGTTCACCAAGACGCCCAAGTATCACGCAGCTGCTTTATGTCTCTTAGAAAAGTCAGGCGGCTTGAAAAAATGTCCCTAATGATAATACCGCTTCGATTCGAAGACTTCGAGTGTCTCCTCGAGCATTTGTTCGCGCGTTATTTTTTCGGCGACGTCCTTCGTCGATTTATGTAACATTAGAATTACCACGTTATCGAACATGATTTGTAGTTCCTTATGGAAATTACTTCAATATATGTAACGATAATATATACAGGGTGTCCGGGATCTTTTGGAAACGAAAAATTGTGAAGATTAGTCAGATCGAACTGAGAAAAAAGTCATGTGCTATTTTGCAAAAATCGCAATAGTTATTAAGTTATCAATGATTGAAAATGATCACATCTGGAGGTTCTTTTAATTGATAACTTGAAAATTTGCGTACTTATTTGTGGCAAAATGGCAAAGGCAATGACTTTTCTTCTCAGTTTTATCTGATTAATATTTACAATTTATCTTTTCCAAAAGATCCCGGACCCCCATATGTATATATATATATATATATACATATGATTTTGAAATTTCCAAAAGTCAGGGCGCTATTATAACAATATATTCTTGAGATTAAATAGAGCAGAAAAGTCTAGTATCACTTTTACTTCCGACAAATAGTTAGCAAGGTATCGTAAGTTAAATATTGAAAAAGTTATCAAGTTTTCCTTAAATATCTCAAAAAATATTAGATATATAAAAAAATGTTTCAGACAAAAGTTATTTAAATTAATTGGTAGAAAAAAACGGTGTAATAAAAAATTGGGGTTTCCATTTAAGAAAAGTAATGATCAGTGAATATCTCGAAAATGATGCCATTTGCGTAAACAAAATAGTATAATTGTTTTATGTACCCCTTGAAATCATACAATTTTTGTTCGAAACATTTTTGCTGAAAATGCTTCGTTGAAGAATTATTGAAGTGCGTTTTTTTAAATGGGACAACCTGTATATATACAACGATCCATTATATATTTTTAATTAACATTAATTAAAACTGAAAAAAGTAAATATTTTTGCTGTTTAATAAGATACTTTTTCAAAAATTCGTAATTTTGACTTCACCGTTGGAAATATATCGCGTTAGTTGTCGGTAGTTCTAACGCAATTTGTTAAAAATAAAATAAAAATCGAAAATACTCGCGGGTCGTCTCTTTTCCTCACTCTCTCCCTTTTTCTTTCTCTCTCTTTTATTATATTTTTTTTTATTTAACATACGATATATAACGAGATTGTAATTACAGATTATATCACATATCGGTACCATATTTTAACCTGCGGAAAGACGTATTAGAAGACGATAGTCGAGTGGAAATAGCAAGTACACGATTTAAATGAAGGATGTGTTACTCGCGATATCTCATTATATAAGTGTAGCATTACATAAAAAATCTCAGCACGTATGGGATATTTTTAAGACATAGAAGACAGGTGTGTGTGTGTATATCGCTTATATTAAATTACCTACTTACACACCTAATACGTACACACAAAATTATTATAAAAATATAAGTTATCGAAATATAAAAAAGTAGCCTATATAACTTACACCGCGTTAAAGTGTCTTGTGACGAAGAGGTAATCGATACAAATGTAAAAAGCAAATGCAAGTTTGTGCCTTTGTTACCTGCATGACACTTTGTTTATATCTCTACGTTAGTCTTGGCTTTTCTATGGGAGAAGAAAATAATTGCATCTTACATTCCCGGAAAATAAGCGTAAGAATCCTATCTACCTATCAACAGTAGATAATGCGACGTTAGATAGCTGCGTACGCAAAAACTTCTCAACGAAATCTTATATATTGGGTTGAGTAAAAAGTAATTTAGTATTTTTAGATGAAATTGAAAGATATTTTTGTATTAAAAAATGCCTTTAGTGAGCAATATATGCACTATTTAGTCCAATAACCTTTCGTCATCTTTCAGACAATTTAAAGATTCGATCCTCCAAAACTTCCTCGTTTTTTGAGCAAAAAACTGCTCAAGATGCTTTTTGCAGGCCTCTAAAGAAATAAAATTTTTTCCATTGAGGAAATTCTGCAGAGATCTGAATAAGTGGACGTTTGATGATGTCAGGTCAGGTGAATACGGAGAATGAGGTAAGACATTTCAGCTAAGCTGCAATAATTTTTGCTGAGTTGCCAAAGATACGTGCGGTCTAGTGTTGGCTTGGTGGAATATAATAATACCATAACGATTGCTCAATTCCGGACGCTTCTCATCGATTGCTGCTTTTAAGTAGTTCAATTGGGAACAATCATTGTTGGAATCAATTGTTTGCGGAAGCAACTCGTAGTACACGATACCTTTCCAATCCCACTAAATACACAGCGTGACTTTTTTCGCATGGATGTTTTGCTTCGGTGTGGTTTGCGGCGGTTCATCTTCTTTTCCCTACGATCTTTTGCGCTCTACATTGTTATACACAATCCACTTTTCGTCGCCCGTTATCATCCGTTTTAGAAATGAAACGTTTTTATTGCGTTTGAGCAATAAATCGCAAATGGAGATGCGGTTCATTAAATTTTTTTTCGTTCAAATTGTGAGGTATCCAAATATTGTACCGAGACACGGAGCTAAGCGTGTGCAAGTGGTTCACAACGGTCCTCTGAGATATGTTGATTATCTCTGAAATCTCTCGTGTCATATTATATTATATTTTTGTGGTTATTTTTAATCAATGTTTTGATTTAGTCGTCATCAACCAACAATGGCCTACCTGAGCGCTCACAATCTTAACATATCATATCGCCAGCACGAAATTTCGCAAACCAGTTTTGGCATACATGTTCGCTTACAGCATCTTCTCCATACACGGCACATATCTTTTTTTTTTGGTTTGTGTCGTATTTTTCCCTTTGCGAAAATAGAAAAGCATCAAACACCGAAAATATTGCTTATTTTGCTCCATGTTTACAATGTCGCCAAATAAAAATTACTGAACGAACTTTGACAAATAACAGCTTAAAATACGCAAGAAAACTTAATCTTTCAAAAAAATATATGGTGTCAGATATTGGGTAAAGATTGCACTAAACACTTCTTAATGCCATCTGTCCACAAAATACGAAATTACTTTTTACTCGACCCAATAGTTTCGTATTACATTTGCGAGTAAAAATAGAACCGGGTAAGCGTTACATCAAGTCGAGCACAATGTTGTTAAAGCAGCTGTAACTTTGTTACTCGGTATCTTGACTGTCAATTTCTCGAGATCATTCATCGCTCATGAATTCTTTTTCCCCGAGAGCTTTTCTCTTCACATGAATAAAGAGAATAAAAAAAAGAATAAAATTTATCGTTAAAATATTCGGTGAATATACATGAAAGATATTTTCTTGAATAAAATAAGTCCTACCTGCATCATGTTTCATGTGAAATTGTACATTTATATAATCGAACCTTATTTCGTAATAAGAAATAGCACCAGGCGACCGTGAAATCGAGACATTAATCTTAGTTCAAAGCTTTTTAAAATTTATCTCAATGTCGAAATAAAATCAAAATGCGTTATCTTTCATGCAAATTCACTAAAAATCCTAATCGAAAGAAGAATAACGAATTAAAAGTGTAAAATATAGAAACAGTGAAAATATAAAAAAGAACACGTTAGACGAATAATTTTCGAATTGCGTAAATCATCAACGACGAACGTCAATTCGATTCACGTTACGACTATACGTCGATTTAGCACGAAAGCTTTCTAGGAACTCGTAGGCGCTCTATTCTTAAATCTACTTTGTAATGTCATTTCTTTGTAATTTCCAATTACATGCGCAAATTTGTCCACGATATTAAAAGGTAAAAAATCTTTAGTATACGTAATACTTTTTCGCTTTTTTGTCGATCTCGTTTGAACAGGCATGTAATTTACGTTGCGTTTGTCTCTTTTTTTGTTCGTTCATAGAGTATAAAATGATAGGGATGTGCAGGTGCTCGCAAAATTTCCAAATCACGGTCAAGACGCTCTTTAATAGAATTTAATAATAATATCTATTTCTGACTCTGAGAACACAGAATTCTGAAATAGAGATCTTTCCTTTCTTCAGTATTGGCTAACAGCGCCTATTAAGGCGAATTCCCAAACGCCATTTTACGATAAATTGAGATAATAGAAAAAAAAATAAGAATGAAGTGTGGTACGAAGAACAGGGACTACGCGTATGCAGTCACAATAGACAAAAATTAAGCGTAGTTTCGCAGTGACGAAAACCACATCCAAAGACTTACAAAAGACTTTAAATAGAAATCCTTGAAATACGAATCAGAATGGCTCAATAACGATCCATCGAAAATAACCTGCTCTATTACAACTTTAAGTGAAAACGAAAACAAGAGAACATCCACGATGTATGGAAAACGAAAGCAAATAATCGCAGGACTTGGAACGATTAGAGGCGAAAAACAAAGCGTCATAGGCTTCGAGAACGCCTATTTACGTAAACAGCCGAATTACGTGCATAGTCGTGCACACGCAGAGACTTGCACACCCCAAGCAATTAATTTGGCATTACACTCGCAATTATGAGATATATGTATAGAGACACCCTATATTTTTCCTTGAATATACTAATGGAAGCATCATGTGTGGGCAGTATGAGAGTTTGTTTATACACAACCATATTCGTACCATATCGGACTTCCAGTCTTTGGCTCTTTATCAGCGGGCGATTCCGTGAGCGCTTCGTCCTGTACCACATCCTTCATCGGAGTACCACTAACGCTCTTGGACTCGTTTATGACCGCCGACACTTTGTTATAGATTAGAAAGGGACGCGACTCTACTTGCTGAGTTTCCGATTTCAAATTCGGTTCCATCTGCGCGGCATGCTGTCCATCGTCTCCTTGTTCTTGATAGGATTCGCCCAGTAGTCTGTCCGCCTACGGTTCCGAAATTTCCTTGTTAAATATTGTGTTCACGACGTGATTAATCAGTCACTGTCGAGGTGTTTCTTACCGGCAAAGAAGTGGATGACGGTGGAGAATCGTCGGTATAGTACACCGTTCTTCTGGTCCCGGCATGTCCGAGAGCGTCTGACCCGAGAATTCTGCTCGGTCCTGAGGATATTATACAAAAATTGATTGCGTACTGTCAGCACAGACTGATGAGTCAAGTTTGACTATTTCAATAAATAATTTACCAGGTAAACGGTAATCGTCGGTGCTGGCATCCGAATCGTTCCCGGCTGTATCTGACTCGTAAGTCTTACAGTCCGATTGCTTGGAATCTTCAGCCCATGAACGGCGATTCTAAGAATATTTTGCATTTTTTATTTCATAATATTGTAACTATTGAAACGTTTGTATGAAATAGTAAACTCAATAGACGAGGATGTACGTGTAGATGTGTAGAGGATGTGTCATACGATATAAAATAAATATATAAAGAGACAAGTGTTGTATAATATAAAGTTTATATCATATATATAAAAAGTAGTTTTATTTTGATTTGGTAGTCTCAAATATCCTGTAAAAATAATTTCGTTGTATAAGTTATTACATAGATAAGCACAAGTAGAGAGATTAGGGCCCATATTCTGAACTCTCTTTTATCACTAAAAGTGACTTTAAAAGTGGCAGAATATGAGCCTGATGTGATGTGAAAAACAAAAGATGTAAGAAGTATGTGTAAAATATGTATAGAGAGTATTTTTTGTGAACCGAAATGATCGATGAGTGTATGCATATTATTATCGTGTTTTCTTCTCATCATCGTCATTTATAATTACCTTATTTAGGAGTTCCGATCCGGCTTTTCTGACTCTACGAACTAAATTGGCTCCGAAACTTTTCCTATTTTAGAAACAAAAATGTGTACACAAGAGAATTATTAGGTGGAAAATATTTGTATTTAAAGTATGGACTTTAAATAAAGCTTTTGCTAAGCATACTTTTTGGTGGTACAGCTGTTCAGTTTCCTGTAGTGTTCCATTATTTTGTCCTCCAACTTCTCTTTCTGTCTATACAACTGATTAACTTTATCCCTGCAACATGTACACAATCGCACATCACTTATATTCTTTGGATACACCTTAAAATAATTAATTCGTAGTTAAATGAGAGTACATCGATACAGTTAATGCATATATATCTGAAGTATCAATCTCCATCGAACAAAAATTAAGTCGTCGTACTAACGTGAACATTTTCTCCTCCATGTGGTAATGTTCCTTATCTTGAAGCGAATGCGTCAAAAGTTCATGATACTGTGTAAATAATAAACTTATATGCTCCATTAAGGAACGCCTGTCATTATCCAATCCAGAATTCATCTCTAATAACATCTAGAAAAGAAGAATGGAACCATAAGTTGGACATTACATGTGAGATTAATAAAACTCACTTTATATCGCTGTACAAATGTTATTGTCATACCTCACATCGTTCATTGAGATGATTAACTTCTGCCTCCAAGTCCGAGCACCGTTCGTCTTTAATACTAAGCTCTCCCTGCATCTCAGTCTGCTTTAGACTCAAGCGATTCACCTCGACTTTATTCTTTCTATAATCTTCCTGCAAGTTTCTGTATTCCGCCTTCAATCTTTCGCTTGCAGTATACAGATTTCTGAAATCATCCTGAAACATTTGCAGTGTCGTTATAAGATCTCGCTTACGTTGAGATGAGGCTGGAGAATACAATCAGAATATTTAACAAAGATCGAAAACTAATAGTGCAAAGAGTGCCGTCGAGATACCTTCAACTTAGAGTGTTCTCCTCGAAGATTATTTAAGCTTCTCGTGTTGTTGACGAAAGCTTCCCGTTCAGATTGCAACGCTTCGCTCTTTGTCTCCAGTCGCTCGACAGTCTCGCGCAATGTTCTATTCTCGTTCCTCGCGTCTCTCAGATTTGATTTAAGAGAGTCACGTTCATGGCGCAAAATCTCATACTCGTTGTTCAGTTGTTCGTGCAACGACTGCATAGTGCTTTGATCACGGAGTAGCGCCGAATGAACCTGCTGTTGCGTGTTGCGTTCCTTCAAAAGCTGAATACGCAAAACATTTGTGTTTAACAAAACGATTCGACAAAATAAAAGCACGATATGAAAAATAATGATGAAAATTGCGAAATATATGTGTTAAAAGTGGCACCTCTTCTTTTTCAGCGACTAATTGTGAATTTGCCAGTTGTAGAGCGGTGTGTTGCGCGTTTAACGAATTGGTTTGCGACTGTAACGTTGTGATGTGAACCTGAAGTTTCGCGTTCTCGGATAACAAATGTTCCGAGGCCGTTTGAGACATGGACGACTTCATCTGCAGTTGTTCCACCTCGCGCTGGAAACAAATATTAAAGTATAATATAGGGCGTAATTGATACAATTTTGACGCGTTTCAAATGTAAATACCTTCAGAGGTTCTATTATAGCTTCGAAGGTTTTATTCAGCTCATTGCTATTTTCTTTCTCGATGGATTCAGATATCGCTTTCTCGTTGCAGCTGTTCTCTGAGAGAGACGATTTCTTTACGTAATTTATTATTTCTGGTAACTGGGAAATTCTGTAATAATTTACATATGTAACCATAGAAATCATAACAAGGATTAATTCGTCTTTAAGTACAATTTGGCTTTATTTATACCTCTCCATTATAGTTTCTAAAGACAAGGTTAACAACATATTGTCGCTAAGGCCGAGTTTTTCTAAAATCGTAAACAACTGTTGATTGCTTCGTTTCTCCGCGACAAGATTAGACTGAAGTATCTCTAGAGTTTCTCTATCAATCGCAGCTCGCGTATCGAGTTCTTTACTACTTCTCTCGATTTCCTGCAGTCTACGGCAAAAATACTTTCGACATTACCGAGGATGAGATTAATTTAATATATAACGAATTTCTTTGCACGTACGCGCACCTAGATATCTGTGTAACGCAATCTTGTAGCTCCTGTTCGAGTTGCAGCACTTTCCTCTCCAAGACTTCGATTGTATTTGTCGCTTTATCTAGGGCCACATCTTTTTCCTGAAATATTGTGCGAAGATATGTATTTGATAATATCGGAGACACGGAGTAAAGTAATTACCTCGATCGTTTCTCTATATTTATGAATATCACGTTGTGCGACATCTTTTTCTTTCTCCGTCGCTGTTAGTCTCGATTCGAGATCGAGATATTTAGAATTGATCTCATTGACGTTGTTCTCAATAACTTTCAGTTCCTCGACTTTTTGGTTCGTCGTCTCTAAAGTGCGTTCTAAATCGTCAGCACGTCGTCGCACGCTTTCTAGTAACAATTGAACACGTTGTTTTTCTTTCACTGCTGTGTCATAACTTTTTTCCAGTTCTATTATTTTTGTATGGTGGATCTAAACGTGGCAAGAAAGAATATAAAACGAAAAATAAAATAAATTTATATTAAAACAAGGTAGTGAGGTAAATTATAATCGGTATCCAACATACTTGAAGTTCTTGTTGTTGTTTGTCGGAGGAAATACGTTGATTCTTGAGATTATTTTGAAGTTTCTTATTTTCTTCCAATGCTTGCTTGCAAACCAATTCCAAGTCAGAGTTTTGTTGCGTGAGCCTCTCGTTATTATCGTTCAATGACTCGACTTTTAACGAAAGCTTTTTTTTATCTTTCTCTAGCTCCAGAACGTGAGACGAATTTTCATGAAACGAAGTCTCCTTCATCGAATCGATCAATGTACTTAAACGACGATTTTCCAATTCTAGTCTCAACGCTCTCCTCTCAGCATTGCTCGTTAATTGTTCAGACAATCTGTTCTCGTCAGGCACTAAGGAGATACAAGAGGTTTACTTTTCTTTTTTTCTTCACAATATGAAGATCTGTTACTACATTAAGATAGATCTCAAAATGCAATTCGATAAATCACCTGGCTCTTCTGAATCACTGGATCCAGCTAACGCAGCTTCATTGGCAGCAGCTTTCGTTATTTGATGTAATTGAGTATTCTCCTCGACAAGTTCTTGATATTTCTCTTTGTCGGCAGCACGTTCCTGGGGATTATTTTAAATCAGCTGTCAAAGTGCATGTTATTCGATTTACAGTATTATACGATTTTTGCAATCTTCTTACCAGCACCATGTCGTTAAGTAATTGTTTATACTTAATGATTTCAGATTCAAGTTCCAACACTTTATCAGCTCTATTTCTCGACGAACTTAATTGTTCCTCAAGCATCTCTCTGGTTTCCATTAAAACCCTTAAATGTATGACAAGCATTTTGTTAGAATTATTTCTTCCCATTTAGTTGTTGGAATACAATAAAAAACAACAAACGTTAATGCATTACCTATTGTCTTCCCTTAATTCTTCTATTCGAGTTTTATAGAATTCAATGTCCGTGAGTTTTTCTCTATAACGTGCAACCTCTATTTCTAAACGATCCGCTCGTTCCGCTCGTTCGATCATGGCATCTAATTCATCTCTGTAGGATTTAGCAGCACGAGCTTCGTGCATTAATTCTTGATTCTGAAAGGGCAAATTTTCTGTACATTATATATTCGCCATAAGAGTGCGAGTTGATACACAGTACCTCTTGCCTCAGTTTAACGAGCAATGTTTTGTTATGTTCGAGCTCTTCCTTACACTCAAGCAAAGCTTCTGTCTTTTCTTCTCTGTAAGTATATCATGAGTACGAAAGATGTTACATAGCATGATATAGAATAATTCTATGATAACATAGAAAAGTGATGAAAAAAATAAAAATACTCACAATTCCTGACGTTGTTTCCGGACTTTAGATTTCCAATCGGCTAATTCTACTGCATAGTGGTAATTATTTTCTCTTTCAGCCTTTGTAACAGGGTGAGATTGCTGCACCTTGATTATTTCTTCAGATGCACTACTTGAAGATTCATTTCGTTCAACACTATCATCTAGCGCAGCATCTCTCCATTTCTGTTTTTTATTATGGTAGAATAATATCAGAAGTAGATATACTTTTGATATCATGAATATTGCTCATCAATTACAAGCAACCATGAGAGATTGCCACACTAACATACCTCCCGATAAAAATCCAATTCTTGAGTCCACTTTTTTATCTGAACAAATAGATAACCCATATTTGCATTTGCCATAGCATCCTGTGTAATGACTATATCTTGATGGTCTGTAATCTAAGAATACACCATACAAATTTATATTGCACAATTTCACAATATAAGAAATTTCAATAGTAATGTCTTATTATTGATATTTTGAGTATAGTACTTGTTTGATACAATCCACTATAGCAAGTTGAGTATCAAGATGTAAAGTTGTTATTTTGCTGATAAATTTTTCCTGATTGGGACACTGGACAGCACATCCAAGCAATAACAGTAGCAATAACTTCATATCAGCTATATACAATTCAGGTTCCTTTCCTAAATTCGTGATATCTGGTAACTTTAAAATCAGATTGTCCATCTCTTCTTCGTAGAATTGTTTTATATTTTGTACTATAGTTTTCAAGTTTTTTGTACGAATAACAGGATTGCCATCAGAAGGCACAACTTCATCATGCAGCGGTTCTGGGTTGCTGCAGAATATCAAGAATATCTTTATCTCTCAAATCATATCGTCTCAATGTTAACTCAACTTTTACAATAACAACTGTTGCAACAAATATGATCGTGTAATAAAGACTCACATTTGTAGGAAGACACTATGCAGCAAGACACCATCTACTAAGTCTTCGTAATTTGCTAATGCATCAGGATCCTCCAGACAGCTGACAACCTATAAAGTACCAAATTAATATAATTTTTAATAATCTTACAATCTTTAATAGATGTAAAAAAATATCTAAATAATCTCTAAGGACTCACCCAAGTGACCAATGGTCCGGCCAGTAAATCGTCAATTTCTGAGGACGCCATTTTCGTGTATTTTGCTCAGAATAACGGTGCGATTATCATCTATGAGTTGGCGTTGACATCTTTTTTCACGGCGAGAATATTGTAAAGAAACCAACGTTGCTGTCGCGTCGCGTCGCGATGTGTCGTTAGGTCTCGTCTCACTGATCAACTACTCGCGCACCTTCTTTTTCACCCTGTGAATCTGACCCGATTCACACCACCGTTTGCTTAGGCGCAAAGTCGCGCTCTTCTCGCAACTTAACGCCGCTCACGAGTGCATCATTGTACACCCGAAACCATCCCAATGCAACACACAATCGCGCGACGTTCAGACAATTACGCTCGGTTAAACTGGAGAAAATAAGAGCGCGTTCAATGTCCCGATACCGTGTCCATCGCTCGCAAGTACAAGAAAGTACATATCATATTTGCCGGACGAGAACCAACTTTTCGCAATCTCGTTACACTTTGTACTCACTTAGCCGGTTCGACGAAGGTCTTCACGATCCCGACAGCTGATCGTTCGAGCAACAAGAGCAGCGAAATCACAAAAGAGAAGGATGAACGTCTAACAAACCAAAATCAACTAAAATTAATTGTTATGATTTGGGCCGGGATCATTGCGCACGCGCCATAGCAAACAACATACCAGTGAAAAGACCGAAGAGATCAATCGATGATCAAATGAAGTGTCCTTTGGTCTTTTGTTCCGAAATGTCATTCCAAAGATATTTTGTTCCAAAAGTTCAAGTATTAAAATTTTCAAGTAAAAATTTGAAATTGATCTGCCATAATTAATGCTAATTTCTACTTTAAAACCAATTGCCAAGTGTTCCTAGTCGCAGAGAGTTTTTAAATACAAACCAAAAAACACTAAAAATTTCAACCTGATATTTCTAAAGCCCGGTTCAGAATAGGTTGCAAATATCCAGTTGCGAGTTACGAAGAACTACTAGTTACAAAGTATTATTTTTGGTTGTAAGATAGTTGCGATTGTTAAAAGAGAATTGCCCAACTTTTAACTTCTTGGCGACGGCAACCGGCAATCGCAACTGTTTCTTACAATCGAAAATAGCATTTTGTAACTAGTAGTTGCCTAGATCCTTCGCAACGGTAACGCGACAGTTTCCTGAAAAATGGCGGAGACAAGGTTGGTATCAATGAAAACTTCTAGACGACATAGTTTTAATTCCTAAAGGTTAGTAATATTGTTTAAGTGGTAAGCTGTTAGTCTGCGCAAACTTTTTGACAGATGTACGTACGTGTGCCACAAATATCATGTATCGTCAAATTATAAATGTAAAATACTTTATAATATCAAGTAAAAATGACATAAGTGAAAACATAAAGTGCGTATAACAAAATAAATGAGACGAGTGAGAACATAAAGTCAACAATAAGGTAAAAAACATAATAAATAAATAAATATATATATATATTATATATATATATATGTGTACATGCATATGTGTAACTAGATAAATAATTATTAAATGTAAATGTAAATAAATAATTTAAGTTTTTCAGTGTTTTGGCATGTTTCAGTAAATTATCGGTTATGGTTGTGACTTAGTTCTTCGCATTGGCATAAATCTTCCACTATTGCAATAAAGAAATACATATCAGATAAGTAATTAATATTCACATAAAATAAAAGATTAAGTATCTATGTATAGTCAATAATGATAGATGTTGAACCCATTCTTTCTTTCGATTAATTTTTTGTCTCAGCTTCCCAGCTATCCAAGTTCTTGCAGAATATTAATAGTTGGAGGCCACTTTCCTGTGAAGTAAGATTACCAAAGTCTGAGGTTACTGTGTCCTTGAATGTGCCCCAGTAAGCAAAAAGTGAATCACATCCTAACATCAAATATCAGAGTAAGATGTATTACTAGCAGTGTGATGACAAATTAATGCATCAAACTAAGAATAGGTTCGTAACATTGATGTTTACTGTCATATCATTAATGCTTTTAACAGCTGTACTCGAAATACATAATATTAAATTGTAAGAATGCTAAAAATATTCTGGCAATAAATGCAATAGAATGCTTAATAATATACCTAAAAATGTAATGATTGTTGAATGTTTACGAAGACTTTCCTTCAGTTCTCTATTATGTCGCTCACTTATATTGTTTGTTTTATATAATTAATATTAATATTCTGTAAGAACTTGGATAGCTGAGAAGCTGAAACAAAAAATTAATCGAAAGAAAGAATCGGTTCAACATCTATCATTACTGACTATACATAGATACTTAATCTTTTATTTTATGTGAATATTAATTACTTATCTGATATGTATTTCTTTATTGCAATAATGGAAAACTTATGCCAATGCGAAGAACCAAGTCACAACCATGACCGATAATTTACTGAAGCATATCAAAACACTGAAAAACTTAAATTATTTATTTACATTTATATTTAATAATTATTTATCTAGTTATACATATGCATGTACACATATATATATATAATATATATATATATTTATTTATTTATTATGTTTTTTACCTTATTGTTGACTTTATGTTCTCACTCGTCTCATTTATTTTGTTATACGCACTTTATGTTTTCACTTATGTCATTTTTATTTAATATTATAAAGTATTTTACATTTATAATTTGACGATACATGATATTTGTGACACACGTGCGTACAGCTGTCAAAAAGTTTGCGCAAACTAACAGCTTACCACTTAAACAATATTACTAACCTTTAGGAATTAAAACTATGTCGTCTAGAAGTTTTGTTGATACCAACCTTGTGTCCGCCATTTTTCGGGAAACTGTCGCCAGAGAGAAGCCTGAGAGCGGGCATGGCTGCATTTACAGCGTTATGGAAAAGTTGGCTGATTCGCAGCGCCAACTGGTCCATTTTTCATGGACATGAACTACTAAGCCAATGTCCACGATTTGTTGGTACTATTCCGTGCTATGTCCATAATTATTTGGTTCTGTTCTGTGCTATGTTCACGAGCGAGCTAGATTAGTTAGATAAAAACAAAGAATCTCACCACCAGCGAATAGACAATCGCGACGAAGCGAGCCAGCAGCGATGTTATCGTAAGGCAGACGTCGCCGTCTCCCCTTTCACTCCCTTATTTTCCTTTCCACATTGTTTTATATTCATAATTCGGGAAGAAAATAATTTCGAGAGTTCGGACGATTTCTAGCAATGACGCGACAGAGATAACACGCGGCCACATTAATTTGTCATGACTTTTATATTACTTATAATTACATAAATGCCCATATATGCAAATTATAGATAATTATTACGCGTATGTTTTAATATTGTACAATATGGTATATAATAACAACAACTTCATTTCTTGCAGTAATTTTTTTAAGATCTTCGTTGAGGTCATGAATTAATTTTTTTCTTCATCAATCAGTTTTCTGCAAAAATTAAGATTTTTTAAATAAAATATAAAATGTTTCTCTTTTCTCTCCGAAGAGTTAATTAAAAAATATGTACACTCGTGAACTATGAGGTATGTGCACCGATTTTTTGTTGACTTCGGAACACGCTCCAACTTGAGGAGAAAAACAACTACTGCTTCATATGTCAGCGCTGTCACTTATTACGAGAGCAGAAGGATGACATATACGAGTGTCAAATAAGTAGTGATTGTGGCGTAGACACAAATGTCTTGGAGACTTTGAGTTATAATTGAAGAAATGAAGAAAAAAAATAGTGATTGTGAAGAAAAATGGCAAAAGGCTTCATAAAATTTGTAAAACAGCATATTAAAGGAGAGTATTAATTGTCTAATAATATTTTAAGTGAAAAATATTTCTAAATTTGAGTGTAAGTTAAAAAAGTTATAAATCATAGTTTCTTTGATGTTAATAATTTTAAAGCTATAAATTTGCCATCGATGTTAAATGAATATGTATGTAATGCTATCATTTACATAGGTGGAAAATTATGTTATTGTGCTCATAAAAAATAAGCAGCAGACCAAGTCGAGTGATATTTTTTTAACAAGATACTCATCACTCAACTTGGTCTGCTGCTTACTTCTGCTGAACACAATAATATAATTCCTCACCTATGGAAATAATAGCATTATATATATATTCATTCAACATCGATGACAAATTTATTAACATTAATTATTAACATTATTATTATTAACATTAAAGAAATTATGGTTTATAACTTTTTTAACTTACACTCAAATTTAAAAATATTTTTCGCTTAAAATATTATTAGACAATTAATACTCTCCTTTAATATGCTGTTTTACAAATTTTATGAAGCCTTTTGCCACTTTTCTTCACAATCACTATTTGTTTTCTTCATTTCTTCAATTATAACTCAAAGTCTCCAAGACACTTGTGTCTACGCCACAATCACTACTTATTTGACACTCGTATATGCCATCCTTCTGCCCTCGTAATAAGTGACAGTGCTGATGTATGAAGCAGTGATTGTCTTTCTCCTCAAGTTGGAGCGCGTTCCGAAGTCAACAAAAAATCGGTGCACATACCTTTTAGTTCACGAGTGTACTCCACAGAGTCAACTAACAAATGTGTGGTCAGAAGAGTCAATTCAAAAGTGTATTCCGAAAAGTCAATTTAATAGCATATTCCGAAGAGTCAATTTTAAAGCGTATTCTGAAAAATCAAATTAATATTGTAATCCGAAAAGTCAATTTATAATAGAATATTTACTTCGATGATTCAGCTAAAGAAAAAAACATTTATTTATTATTATATTCAGAGAATAATATTTAATTTATTATTTATACTTATCTTACTTATGCTTACCCTACATATGCTTCTTTGAATGAAAAATTTAATTTGTTGACTGATTCAGATTCAGATTTGTTAAAATATCTCTTATGCGCAATTCTTGAACAGGTAGGTAGTAAAATAATTTTTTTGCTCTACGAATTTTATAAACTTTTCACGATCATAAAAATTGAAAGATTCTCAGAGGATAAATAACTTTTCTTGAACATTTAAACCAAAGGAAAATATTTTCCCATTAATAAAGAATGAATAATTAATATCTCACACAAGAGGAATCTTCATCCTTGAAATCACCGTGCGATTTTACTTTTAGAAAAGTATAATATTGATGTAATAGTAACAAATGCTATTCAAAAATGGTGCAAATCTTAAACGTTTTTGAGAAATGTAGTTTGAAGTTTAGTCTTTTCTGTTAATGTCGTTATAGCAGAAGAATTACCAATTTGCTTCAGTAGCACAGTGGATCAGGCTTTGTGATATGAGCGTAGAAGTTGTTCAAGTGTGTTATTTTTACTACTACCGCGGGTCTCCGCGGGTATCTCGTCATATTAATTGTCTATGAGCTGATAAACAATTGATCTCCGGTATTTACAAGTTACGCTTGTCCGCAGCTTGTTCGGTTTTGATATCATTGGTATCAGTGATGCGAATTTGGTGACGGGCTTGCACGAGGATTCTCCTCCCCTCCCCCCATATACGCACATAGCCAGCTCGGTCAATCCGTGTAAGCCACGCGATCGGCAATTGTCGACGCGCCGAGCGAGCGAGAGAGAGAGAGAATATCATTCCCTCCTTGTCGCTCTCGAGCCCTCGTTCTCGCTCAGCGTGCGAGCCTAATTCTTTCTTACCTATAATCTGAATCGCGGGCGCGACTGTCTCTCTCTCCTTTCCTCTCTATGACAATACTGAAAAGTTTTGTCTACTCGGCGCACCGAAATTATTACAAATAATATTTTAGTTTTAATAATATTATTATTTATAATATATATTATTTGTAATATTATTATTTGTAATTTTATTTGTAATTGTATAATAAGGTTACAAATAATACAAATTTTTATAAATTTTATTTGTAAAAATTTATATCATTCGTAATATTATTTGTAATAGTATTAATAATATTCGGCGCCAAGGAAATGAAATATATTTTATTAATTATTTTGCGGAGTCGGGCAGGTTCACAGGTTTGATTATTGAATTGTTTAATAATATTTTAAGAATAATTTTAAGTTATACAAGGATGTAGTATGAAATATAAAAGAATATTGTAACAGAATCAAGAAGTACGAAATGAAACCTCTTTGCTTTTATTACAATATCCTGTAAGTTAATAAATATTTTTCATACAGTATTAAATAATCTCCAAAAACAATTATATCCATGAAATTTTCTATCTGTGCGAAAAAAAATTCATAAAATATATTTGTTTCGTCGCTCTAAATGAGAAAACTCTCAGAACAATGTTATAGTTGTTCAGTGCACTACTCAATAAAAATATAATAATACCATGTTTGTATGTGTGAAGAATATTTGCTAACTTACAGGATATTGTAATAAAAGTGTTACGTCCTGTAGATTTAATTAGCAAAAATTCTTTCCTCTCGCGGATTTATATTCTCCTAATATAACTATAATAGGAATATATACATATATAAATATAAATTAGGAAACAGACCCATCTGGCGAACAGCCGTCGCGCCAAATGAAAGGCGCGATTCGGGAAAATTCCATAACAGGAAACAGTGCCCTGTTGTAAAAATCTACGTCTTCGTTTAAAGTTTATATCTGGATAGTGTTCGCCAAGTGTGTCCATCGTCCCAGCTATAAAAATTTGAAACTCCGCGCTAACAAACCTTCAGTGAAACAAAGCAACTCAGAGCATTCCTGCTCTAAAACTTGAAACTTACATCTTCCCAATCCAAAACCATATGTGCCCTATCAGTCAACCAACAAAGCCTACTTCACTGATAGTCGTAAAATCTGATCTCAGCCTTTGATTTACGGCATTTTGATTTTTCCAGCCGGCCACTTGTATACATTTCTCTATCTCAAGAATCCACCACCTCCACGCTTGTCGCGCCTAATTCATTCAGCCAATCATATCATATCCACCTAAAACTATGAGACACCCACGCTCCACCCTTTAGCCCTTCCATATTCATATCTCCAAAAACTAACTGTCTCCTCCCACGATGTCTTTTAACTTCGCTAATGGCTGAGACTTTTTCCCATTAAGACCAATTCACCTCTTTCTCAAAGGCCATCTCTCTACCCACCCTGATAGCTTCTGCCTCCGATTAT